ATTATGTCCTTTTCCTGATGTCTCTAGAGGGGAGGACAACCCTGTAAAGGACATAAAAATGATTCCCATTCCTATGAAAATAGAACCACTTGATGGCTAAAAACATGGGTTGGAAATTGCTTATGTCCCAATGTCTTCATATGATGACAAGTTTAGAAGGATAGAAGCAAAAATCATGGTTGAAATTTTGAAATCGCATCACAGTTCTAAGAACAGTTTTCCCATCAATATAAACTTTATTGGAACCGGCAGCATGTTCTGACTTTGAAATGGGGTAACCTCCCCCACCCTCTAAACTTTCATTTACCCCAAATATATATACATATATATATATATATATTTACAAATAAGAGGGATTATATACACAACAGAAAATCTACACCCAGTGAAGTATAGAGAAGATAATTAATTATACAATTTAAATTTATAGGCCATTTTATATGTTCAAAATCCTTTCCATGTTACAACAAAGCCTGTGCATTGATGGAGAGACAGCATGCAGGTAGTACTAGAAATTGTCAGCCACCTTTGGACAAAAATGCTTCTTCATACCTATCCATTCCTGTGATTCAATTTCAGCATATATGATGAAACAAGAATACTTCTCAATTCACAGCAGTTTCTCAAAACCATGGCATCCACCATATGTACATCTTTCCAAGATTCTTGTGTGAGACGGCTTCTGCAATCAAGCGACGAGCTTGACCTTCAACTGCTAGGGGCAAAGATGGTGCTGCTCCAACACCAACTACCACCCCTTGCAACCTTGCCTCAATATTATTGATGGCTCGCTGCAGAAGTCAAAAAAAAAAAAAAAAGGCTATAGATTAAAAACTTGTTTTAAACCATTTAACAAACTCAACCTCCTTAATGTTTCCTGTTTATAAAGGATGGTAAGACAGGAATTGTTAGCATAGGAGAAGATTCAAACCTGTGCATGCGGGTTCTGAACTTCTACCCCACTAGATTTGTGAGATTTTGTCCACTCTACGAGAGGATCATGAATGAAAGTTTCAAGAACACTCATTAAAGTTTCCCTGTGTGTCCTCAGCACTGTAAGTGTGATCTCACAAACCCTCAAAAAGATGCCCTCATATCCAGTAATGCCCAATCCATCAATCATGTTCTGTGGAATCCATCAAAGAGATACCATGAGAATAAAAACCCAGGTTGCGTGAAGTTTGTATTTTCAAGAAGTAAACAATCACTGAAGTTGTTTGCAGGAATAATAATGTGATGATCATGATTTAACAACTCCAAAGAATTGAAATAGATAGCTAGGACTTGAATTTGTTCAATCAGGAATACTGCAGAATTATTGTACACATCAGTAGTCTCAAAAATAGCAGCTGATAGAGAAGGGCAACTAAAAGTGTACATATCCATGGCTTTTCTCACCTGGGTTAGCCTGAAAGGCACTAGCTCTGGCTTCTCCAACTGCAGGCCCTTGTCAAATAAGCAGCTGAAGTCAACATGAACACAGTCACCGGTGGTCGAATCAAAAAGAATGTTCTCCCCATGTCTGTCACCCAACCCCACAATATGACCAACCATGGACCAAACTGCAGTAGTGTGAGCATAAGCAACACGAGCTCTAAACCAAGCAGCTGGCTCAGAAAAAGTGGTCAAGAACCATTTGTGGAAAACTGGTGGGAACATTGGAAGAATCTTGGTCTTCAGCATCTCATCTTCAGGCATTTTACCTTGACATTGATCATAAATCCGTTTAATTTGTGGATTTGTCTTCTGCCTATCAAATTTGCCACATCTGATGTATGTGTCTTGAAGTATGTGCCGGAGTCCACGTGTATGGGGCACCCACTCCACCATACCACAGTCCTCTGTTAGAGGAATCACAGCAAAGGTACGGATATAGAGCTTCCTTCGACGGCTTTCAGGGTATTTGGACAATAAGCGGTTGATCATTGCAGTGAACTCCATCATACGGGCATCTTTCCTGAGATCATCTTTGGGTTTGCAGAGGAATGGACGTTCAATGCCATCACTGCCCAATAAAACAATCTGAAAATACAATAAAGGGGCATTATTGTTACTAAGGTGATGTGTTGTCGTTATGTAGACTATTATGAAAAGGACATGGATTAGAAATCATAGTTCAATGAAAAGATGCACTGAAGATATATTAATACAGAAAACTAGGAACTTAAAAAATTACCTAACTCACAAAACTTATCTAGCATATTTTCTAATGGGATTAGTGCTTATCCACCTTACCTCTTAAAAAGTAGGATGGAAATTACTCTAAAACTACATCATGTCAATAAAGCACCACAAGGAGAGACCAAAAAGAGTCAAATTAATGCTTTAAAAATAGGGTATTTTAGTCGTTTTCAATGGAAGTTTATTGAATCAACATAATTTGGGAGCAATTTTCCTCCTAATTTTTGGAGGTAACATAGATAGGCACTATTCCCTTTTCCAATTCATGTCAAATAAAAATGGGAAAAAATGAGCAACAGGAATTGCAACTTGTGCAATAATATTTCCATCTAGAAGCCCTTCTTGTAAATGGGAGTGCCTGCATAAAATTTTAGAAGCCATATGCAGGCCCAAGATAACTAGTTAATCCTGGCATGAATATAATCATGCTAAAGTATAAAGAAGAGAAATAAATCAATAGAAAACAAATTTAAGATTTTTTTTCTTTTTTTTGTTTTCAAAACCAGTAACTTAGAACTACATACTTTCTTGGGCCGCTGAAGAGAAGAAAGAATCTCAGCTTCATCAGCTATTCCAGATATTGTTGGGAGATCTGCACCAGAAAAGACATCAGACGAAAGTGGCCCGGTGAGATTGGGATCATATGTTGGCAGACTGACAGTAAGAGACTGTTGAATTGGCATGATAATTCCCAGAGGCATCATCCTTTTTAATGCACTGAATTCAGTTGAGATATTAATAGTCTTTGCTTTTGCCTGGCCTGAATGAAAACACAACTTGATAAGATGATCAACAAGACTAGCAAACTGAACAAACAAATTGTTGCCACTATGTTCTTGGCTGAATCCCTTTCCTGCAGCACGAATGATTTCTGCAGCAGCTGCCCGCCTGGAGGGAACAGTGGATTTTGAAACTGCTGCCATGATCCATAATGCTTGTTGTGGATATTGCCTCAGAACAGAGGTAATGATATGTTTGACCATCTGAACAATTTCTTCATTTTGGTGGCAGATTCTAGAAACCAACTGAGGCAATACTGTTAACCACTGATAAGTAGGCAAATCCTTCAAACAGCCTCTCATGATACTTACTACCTGTCAAGAGTAGGAAAAATATTATTTATGTACTGAGAAAAAAAGAAAGAGGAAGTAATATTTATTATAAGAAAATGTTCATTTGGAGGCATTACCCTCCCATTAACATTTTTCAAATCCTTGTTGGAGGTGGAGGCACTTCGCTGATAAAAGCTCCCAAAGTCAAACCACAGGGTTAATAATCTTGGAAGTGCTTGGAAAAGGTTTTTGTGACCCCTATGAAGCCCTTTTGCATAATATATTAGCACATCAGGAAGATAAAACCACCAACATTTATCGGTATTTGGATTCAAAGGAGCAACACAGGCAGAATTTGAAAGACGTATCTTTGAACCTACTTCAAAATTCTCGTCTTGACGTTTTCTGGCATCAACAAGCACCTCATCACAATACTTTGCCACATAGAAGTATCCTTTCTCCGACTTGGGCTGCAGTTCCCTGACCCTGGAATAAAGACTCAACACATCTTCTTTCTGCTTCTGACCAGTGTAATGAATCCACCTAGAATATAAGAGGAGGGTTTTAGCTATATCTCGATTCTCATTCAAAGCTTGGGTATCACCAAGTAGAGGTTGCGGATTCAGTGGAACAAGAGAAAGGCTAGTAATAGATGATAGTGCAGCAGAGCCAACAACTTCCACAGGCATGTTCAGGAGACATTGCTGCAATTCTGCAATGGCACCATCAGAACGCCTGGTACTCCAAAGAAGCCTAGCCTTTTCCATGTGAACATTAGGTGCACCAGAAGCCTGGGCTTCTAGAATTGCTCTGTTTGCTGTTTCATAGTGACCTGCCAAACGGCAGAGCTTTGCATATTGAAGCCAGCAATTCCCAACTTGAGCACCATGCCTGCTAGCACCAAATACTAGTCTCCTAAAGGCCAACAATGGCTCCCTAGCCCAGAGTGATGGTTGGGTAAATCTAAGTCGATTTTCCCAGTTCTCTGTAACTTTAGTGAAACCCTGATCACCCAGATGAAATGATTTCTCCAAGAAGGAATCATCACCAAGAAGTGTATGGAAGTCCTCAAGCTCTGTAAGCAAGTGAAGTTTTACAATAAAAGGATAAGCCCGAGTGTAAGAATCCATGCCAGCAGCAGCCAGAGGAGCAATGAGAGCTTGTTTGGACATTGCAATTTTCTCAGCAACAGAGAACAGATCCTTCTTCATCATTGCCTGCAGAATCTTTGCAACATCCATATCAAAAGAGGCATTACTTTCAGAGCTACTACAAAGTAAGCCATCTTCATCTGCTCCATTAAGGTATTCGTCCATTAAATCCCACCTGCCAAGCCTCCATGCTGCCTGCACTCCTTGCATGCACCATGTTTTCTTGTATTTAGGTATCCTAGAAATCAAACCATCCACATGGGTAACCATGGCCTGAAGATGGCACATGTTTAGCAAACAGTTAAGAACATCTGAATGCCTCTGAACTGATGTGGGCTCCATCTGCAAAGCCTGTTCACAAGCTGTTAAAACTTCTGCCCAGTTTCCTGCCTTTTTGTTTATAAGGAGCTGATCTTGTAAACTCAATGATTTACGTAAGCATGCCAAACCTGATAGTCCATCAGGTTCATCCAGAAAGCTGTATATTTCCATTAGGTATGAGATATCTTCATCCTCAAATATGCCACTCCTCTCAGCTGCAGGGTTGAAGGAACCAGACTTACCACGAACATGAGACTCAAAGTACATTAAAGACCTAGCATAGGCTTGACACCTGAAGGAAGCCCTAGCAAGGGTAACATTTGGAATTGCACTTAAAAGTTCCGAAACATATTTACATTGTACAAGAAGTTGATCTTGATTTGGAAAGGAATTCAGGTTTGGATCCTTTGACTTTGACAACTGTTGCTTAGAAGCTGATGCTTGGAAAGACTGAGAGAGAGCCAGCTCTTGTTCAACATCATCCATCCACTGGCCAAGATTATCCAGAAGAGTAAACACAGCTTGAATACAAACCTCACCCTGTCCACCACTTAATCCATGAACTGCAACCCCACTGTTCTCTGATGCTGCAGCATCAAGAACTGATAGGATTTCCTCTGTAATACCATGGCGTGCCTCCACAGTGCCATGGCAGACAGCATGGAGAACTAAATATGGCAGGAGATATATCGCTGTTTGCATATCATGACGAACTATACCTCGACAAGCGTTAAAAATATCAGCACGGGATCCAGTTGCATGGGCAGTTAGTTTTCTTATCCAAGAGAAAATCCACCTTCTGAATGACATGGAAGGCTGGTAAATTGGTCCAGAGGATGCAGAATCAGCTACATTTGGAAGCTGAAATCGAGAGGTCAAGCAAGGTGCTATTATCTCTTTGACATAGTTAGAGAACCTATCCCATAATTTCTGACCCCTCGCATTCATCTCACTGCTGCTAACAGGACTCTTGATCCCGGATGTAGTAGCTTTTAAAGGCTCTTTATCCTTCACCCCCAGTGAATTATAACCAGCAACATTCTCATCAAGTGATGCCTCACAGCCAGCAATCTTTAGGAGCTCCTGTATGGCCAAAGCAGCAGAGTCTTGAATGATTGTATCTGATGCAGCCCTAAAAGCCCTGGCAAGGTGCTTGTGGATCAACTCAAAAATAAGGTCATCATCTGAACATTGAATTTTAAAGCAATTGCACGCAACTCCTCTCACTTTTGCAGGATCAACTGCACCAAGTGCACCAAGGCAATCAGCACACACTAACTTGAGTTTCTGTCCTACCACAGTTCTTGATTCTTCTGCACACCCTCTGAGTAAAGATGTGATCAAAGAGCTCAGGATATCCATGTCTGGACCAGCTTCACCAGTTACCAGAGTTGCAACATCCTCCCTGCTCAGTGTCAGCAACTTGCTCAATTCACTTGCTACCATATATCTAACATTCAAGTTCTCATTATTCAAACCGTCAACAACATCTCGCAATTGATCCTTCAAGTTCGTTGATCCACGAGCTTCTTGTATTGCTTTGTTCACTTCCACTAACGCAGGAACGTTGGGCATTAGAGGAAACTCATGAATGTGCTCCTTCAGGATAATCCTGTTCGTTAACACTAGGTCTTCTAATATTCTAACCACCTTATTCAAATGCATTGGGGTATTTTCCTTGTCTCTCTCCAGCAATGGTATAAGAGCAGCAAAAACTTGTGAAATTACATGTTTAGTGCTAGATGGTGAAACCTTTGCCAGCTGTTCAATGAAAAAATGCAAAACAGAGAGACCCTCCAATTGGAGTGATTCCTTACTGATGGCATGCATGAGAAGCACCATTAATTTTGGCACATAAGTACTTAAGTGTGAACCCATCATTTTAATAAGCATCTCAATGCGTCCCAAAGCTTGCTTCTGCAGAAAAAAATCATCTGAATGCAACATCTTTCTGTCAATACTGTTAAGGAGGCCAACAAAATGATTCCTCAAGAAGGCTGGAAGATCTTCAGCATCAGTCAGAACCCTGGCAACTTTTTTTATCATCTGTGGAACTCGATCTAACCTATATGCAGAAATCATTTAAATCAAATGACAACGGTAAGCAGACTGGTTAATAATACTAAGACACGTGGAGTGTCATATTATCCAAAATATTAGCAACTGGGTGCTTAATCCAAAATTTAGAAAGCAAATAAGGCCAATAAGATCATTAATCAAAATTGAGTTCAGAGCTTAACAAAAGGTTTGATTTATGCAGAGAATTTAAATTCACTCATGCACATTTGAACATCCACCTGATCCTCAAAAGGAACTCATTTCAAATGAAGGAATGCATATAGATTAGATGAATGAAAGAAAAACGATACAAACGCCTAATTTTGGTATTATATAATCATATTCACTGAATACTTGTTAGCTGGCACACAGCTTTTACCTTTGGTTTATTTCTATTAAATCGACCCCATCAATGAAGCAAATAAGTTCATCTAAAAGTGCAGGCAATGCAGCTGCAAAGATTTCTTGGTTGTTAGAACCAATCTTTGCATGATAAAACTGTAACGCAGAGACTAAGTCCTGTTCATTTGCTTGATGGAGAGCATAAGCAAGCACTTTAGGTAGCCAGTTTACTATCAGAGACACCAATTCAAGTTTCAAACATTTGGTCAACTCATACAAGTTGTCAACAGCTTGAACATTATCCTGCTGAGACACCACAAGCTTCGGAAGAACAACAGGAACCATTTTTTTAAGCAATTCTTCAGTTTCAATACCGAGAACTGCCTCTGCAAACTCTTTGGTCATATTAGGACGTCTTGCAAGATTCAAACATAGATAATCAAACAGCTCATTGCGAATATGAACAGATTTAGAAAGCAAGAGTTCAAATCCCCCTTTAAAATGGAAGTAGCAGGATCTGTGTATTAACCTTGATGCATTCATTCTAACTGTCATGTGTGGATTGTCAAGCTGATCAACCAACAAGATCAAAGAAAATGAGAAAAGCTGGCCATAAACATCAACTGCCATCATGACTTCTGATGTAGATTCCATAAGAGTCTCAATCATCTGGGGATCTTCAGCTGCTTCCAGAGCGTGTTTAATTATATCCAAGAACTTTTCTTCATTGCCTTTATGTGAAACATCACCATCTGAAAATAAACAACTCAAAATAGGATCCTGAAGGAAGAAAGCAATTTGAGTGCAGAATGCTTCTCTTATAGCCTTGTTTCTGTTAAGTAGAAGAAAATCAATGCATTTAACCCATTCAGATCTCATTCTAAGCAGAACATCTTTCGTACCATGTAAAAGGATCCTTCGAATAACTTCCACACAGGCAAGTTGAGCCTCTTCCAAAGACTCATCATAAAGAAGCTTAAAATATAGAGAGTGAAGAAAGACAAAATCACAATTGAGACCAGTTTCTATGCTCTGTGCTTCAGGAAGCTGCATGATTTTAGAATGTTGCTCATGATTGGATACGATGCTTCTGTCACACTTTGAACACCAGAATCCTTTATGCAAACGATCTAATATCTCAATTGTACTCTCGTCTTCAACATTTAAATAGAATTTGCAAGCACTTCTATCTTGACCATCAACACCATCATAAGATCCACAAAGACATGATAAAAAGCCAAGAGAGAAAGGTATGACTTTTTTAATTTTTTCATGCTCATCTTTCCCCCAGAGCCTGAAAATTAAAAGAGAAAAGAAAAATAACACCTTTAGTACTTAGTAGTCTTCATGACAGATGGGCAAAAAGGCAAAGAGAATATTAAAAAAGCTAAATTAGAAACCTCCCATTAATGGAGGAAAGCTGAACCCATTAGACAGACTGATTATTAAAATTCACTTGTCTCCAAAAGTCCAAATGAAATTGTTCACATAATGATTATAGCATTATCTGTTCATGTCTGTGCCATTTTTTCATCAGCCTTAGCATGTATCATATTGTTTACTTCTACTAATCACAGATGAATGGTCACAAGATCCACTAGTAGTATACCAATACCTACCATTCACCATAGCAAATTGTCCTTGTATGACATAATGAAAAAAACCAATTTTAGCCATATGGACCACAAATATCAATCACAAAATTCCCAAGCCTAAAGACTTTGAAAATTGAGATTATACAGTTTTAACCTCCCAATTAGACTGTCAAAAGAACAAATTCAAGCAAGCGTATACGAACATCAGGATACAATGAAGAAACATGTTTCATTTCTCACTTACTCAAGCCTTTTGAAGACATGATTTAGTGCATAAAGACCAGACCAGAAGACCATTACTGGCATGGAAAGAATAGCTTCAATTCTAACTTCCTCAACTTCATCCTGAACAGCGAAATCCAAGACTTCAAAACCAGTTCCAGCACTAAAGCTTGGACCAAGCTTCAACAAAATTTTAATGGAGGCACATTTTGCTTTCCATGCAGGATGAGGTTTGTGGACCACTAGACTATGGGTCCATGGAAGCTTTAACACCACATTTATAAGATCCACATTTTCAACTTCATTCTTGAACAGCTTATTCTCATTACCTAAATGAGAATAAATTATTGAGTAAGTCCTTAAGCAGTAGAAAATATGGTAAAGGTAAGGCAAACAAACTTTTAAACATACAAGTTTTTGTAGGGGATTAGTAGCTTCCTTCTTCAAGGAAAATTAATAGAACCATAGAACTTATTAGAAGAAAATCGTATTTCTTTCATTAAGAATTAAAATCATAGAACCATCTAATAAAACTTTTTTCGGTTGGGGGAGTGCATAGTAGAGTGCTTGTCTATTGTGTTGTCAACTGTAGCTGCACTATCACATGAAGTTTGAGATCAGGTTTAGTTAAAAGTTCCCTTTCTTTAAATTTCACTTTCAGGTAGATTAACTGAGGCTGACCCATACAGAATATTCTTTTTCTCTGTGTGTGTGTTACTTGGTTCAATCTCTCTTTATGTTCTCCAAATATATATATACATATATATTGGGATAGTGTTTTGCAGGTCATCCTCCTAAATTTGTTTTGAAGGACATGTCTTAAAACTCATCTTTTAATTCATATTTTCAAAAACCAACTGTTGAATTGAAAGTTCTATTCATATAGATAATACATGTAAATTTTCATATTGGTCTAGTAGGTCTTATTAATTCGTTGATTGCACAACATTTAACACTGTTAAATCTATGTCAAAAAATAAAGTTTCTTTGATCAAAGTGTTACATGTGTTAGATGAATTCCATGCATGATCTATATATATAAAACTTTCAATCCAACAGTTAGTTCTTGAAAATATTAATCCAAATGTGAGTTTCTAGACAGGTCC